CTCAGTAAGTAGGTCTTAACTTCTGAATTTCGGGAAAGTGTGATTGTTCCGGCTGCAATTCTCCGTCGTTGGATATGTCGTATGGCATCTACTGTGCAGGTCTAATCCGGAAAGTACAATTGTCTTCAAGTTACAACTTAGGTTGCTATTCTCATGCCTGCGCTTTCTCAGACGTTGGCGGGATCCGGATCCATGTATCCCGACAAAAACCAACTCAGCTCACCACTCATGTCGAACTGCGAAGGGGCTACAAAGTAATCTGGTGCCAGCTGGTTTTCTGCAAAACCGGACCATGTAAGCGGCCAATCCAGACTGGAGCCAATGTCATTGAGACCAGCCGCACTGGCTAGAGAGGCCGGGTAGATGTCGACAGAGTCCGTCATCGGCATGTCCGTCGTTTCTGAAGTCTGGAGGATCGAAGGCGTTTGAGGAGGGTCGGAGTGCTGTAGCGCGACTTCGTCCGCAGTCTTGGCGTTGCTGTCGAAGCTCTGAGATAACGGATGATATCTGCTCAGCAAGTTGTTCCGCTGGACTTCGCTGCTGACTGGCGCGAGCTCCTGTGCCTCTGCGTCGTTTTGTCTTCTGTTTTTATCGGCTTCGACCATCTTTTCGACGTCTTGCTGTAGTACCGCGATGATGGGCACGATCTTGGCCATGTCGTCCAGCAAGGTGATGTTGCTCTGGCACAGAGCCTCCACTGCCTCGTCATTGAGCTCCGCCGTCTCGCCGGTGATCGGGTCGATAAGGCCATCATACAGCTTGCACCGTCGCGCCGTGAGGAGAGTTTTGGTACACTGATGGACCATGCTACCGTACCCCAGACGGAGGGGGATACGCGTCTGCTTTGACTGCAGGGCACCCTTGGCTCGAAGGTTTTGGAGATGCTCCCACAGTCTCGCTTGACGTAGAGCGTGGGATACCGCAAGTGCGCGCCACTCCGAGACAAAGTCTGGCGGGGCGCTCGCGAGGAATTTCGGCGATGCGCTCTCTCTGTACGCAGCTGGGAGTGCGACGCGGAAGAGGTCGCAGGCGCACTGGAGGTACCACGAGTTGAGAGTGAGGTAAGATGAGAACTCTGATGTGGTTGAATGGGAGAACATGTTGAGCTCACTCAGTTGTAGGTGTTTTGGTGTATTTTTGAGGAAGAATCGTAAACGGTCACGTAGGTCTTTCATGGTTGTGACTGCTTTGGAGACCGCTGCTGGAGAGTGGTCTGAGTGACTATCTATGACGATTCTCTTTGTTAACCTGTGGGCGTCAGTAAAAACTTTGCCATTGAAGAAAGGAAGGTTTCCAAATGCCTACCGCAGTATCTCACAGCGAAGCGGCAATAGCATGATCAAGTAGGCATTAGGCCCAGCTTCATGAGATGCAAGTGCCTCCACACCGTCACTTAGCCTGCCAGTTGGCTTCATCAGCCCATGACAGAAAGCATGCTCCGAGTTCGGTAACGAAGTCCTCATCCACCGATCTGGCAACGAGGTGAACTCATCCAGACCCGCCGAGAGCATCTTATCCATACTCCACACATGCCACACCAGTCGCCGCTCACACTCACGCTTGATGAGCGCGGCGGTGGTATCATTCTCAGCGGCTGGTCTCTCGTCGTTGAGTTGGAATGAGACTGCTAACCTCGCGGCCATGCTGATGAGCAGCCACATCTTGCCGAACTGCCTGTAGGCGAAGTTTTGAAACATGGAGAGGATTAGAAGCTGGATGTTGAGCACCTTGAAGACATTGAGGTTGCCGAAAATGTAGGCGTCTACTTCTTTAGCCCACTGGACGGATAGGACTCGCGACTCGCGCGAGCGGGAGACGAACATTGCTGCAGTCGCGCATATCGATGTGCAAAGGATGGGCGGTAGCTTTCCGGCATAAAATTCTTCCATTACGGATGGCCGGTGAAAGAAATCATGGCCTATTGGATAGACGTGGTCAAAGTACGCCTCGAGATGCTGACGGATCACGTCTGTACTGAGGAGAGCGTGATCTAGGGCAGTATTCAGAGATACCCTGCCGACGCCGTACCGTTGGTTCAGTGTAGACTCTGCCTCATAGGAGGCGCTCTGGCTGAGAGTGCTGCTTGATTCTGGAGAAGCAGACTGTTGCTGTTGTCCGCTGACATGTCTGCTCTTACGCCTTGATGCCGATGATGGATATACACATGATAGGTTCCTCCGATTGCAATGGAAGCATTGCGGGCGATGACCGGAGCACTTCGCCTTTTGAACACGGCACTCCGTACATGCGGCCGCGATGCGCCGACGTTTGGTCCCGGCTTCCGTCAGCGCGTCTGTCGGGGCTGAAAGTCCTTGTGGATTCGGGACTTCTGGTGACAGGTAGATTTCCGAGTAGTTGAATGTACAGTCAAGTCTTAGTCGACGACAGTTCTCACATGGTTCAGGACCCCCAGTGCATTTGACCTGACCATTGTCAGTATGCTTGCCCATCATGTGCAGAGGCGGGAACGGGGGGGGGGGGCCACAATGCGGATGCTTCAATTACCTTTCGGCGCTTACATGTCAAGCACCGGGGTCTAGGTACCGGTGCCCGCTCAGGTTCGGCGACCGGACTGGGGCTCGGCATCGTGTCTCGGTCTCCTCCGTCTGACAGGGCGTAGGTTTGAAGAGGAACTCCTCAACCGCCGCGGGGCTCTTGCATCAAAACTTCATTGTTGAGACTCAACGGCGGACCGGGATGCGGAACCCGGAAGAGACCGAGGATAATATGCCCCGGAAACCCCAGTTTTCCCACCGAAGTACACTGACGTGCTCAGCATGCGGGGTCGCTCTAAGCCTGTTTGAACGCAACACAGCCCACAACGTATGGGATTCAGCGAATCCGAGGGCGCGAGGGGGCCCGAAGGGGCAGAGCACATCATTGCATTGAAGGATTGCGGAAGAGTTGCTCGACGCAATTGGACAGTTATTCTAAGCACTGGTGTGAGAGATGGTAATGTCTAAGAATGCCGTGCGATTGTCCTCTGTAGTCAGGTAGGTTTACAACATTGAACACTCTTTTGCTACATGCAGCGTGTTTTCCCACGCTGTGTTCGATTTCAAGTTGGTTGGTAGGTGGCATGGAAGGATCATGGTCAGCATTCTCCGAGTCATTCGCTCGCGTTTGAGTCGTGGAAAGGCTAACATTGACCGAGTGCGGGTATAACTCATTGCCTGCATTTGCTCTCTGATAATGACATCTCCTCAGAAAAGTTTGTAGCAGAAAACAACAAAGCCAAGCTGGTCATGGCGTCGCCTCGAAAAACTAACACAGGATGAAGCATCCTTGCATCGACCTCATCTCAAAACCGGAAGACCCATTATCTGGTTTGAATCTCGAGCCTAACTACTGCGATAGATCTCACTCCACGATCTCCTTTGGACAGTCGTTTCCCCCATGATACCACAGAATGAAGACTCAAGCTATGAAGATATATTTGTCTTGGTAGAAACTTGAGTTGAGATCAAAGTAGGAACGAATAGTATCAAGACTTGTGAGTTATCACACTGACCGGCACTCTGGCAGGCCACCAGGCGGGAAGGAGCAACTGATTGAAAATTGAGAGATTCTATTATTACCTCGCTACTTCTTCAGATCACAAATTCTACACGACGACCCGGTTTTACTGAGGCCGGGTCTAGAGACTCGAAAGAGAGTTTGAATGTATTGTGCTCAAGGGTCAAATCAAGTGATGCCAGCTGGTCTGGTAACTAGGGAAGGAAGTTTCACATGAGACCAAGTTCCAGATCACCTACAAGTGATTGTGATTTCGCTTTTTCTCTCATTCTTCAAGTTGACTGAATTGCCAAGGCTCCGTGCCGGAAGCGGACTGGGTCTGTGTCGGAGCCGACCCGAAGCCTCCGGGTGGAGCTTGCTTCGGGGCATGCCAATTTTGTCGTCCCCATCCCACCAATACCACCAATTTTTCACATTCGAAATTTAATCTGTGCCATCCTCGGTCTTTCCATCAACCAGCCAAATTCAGACTTGTCTGCCCGGCTAGCTCAATCGGTAGAGCGTGAGACTCTTAATCTCAAGGTTGTGGGTTCGACCCGTAAGCATATTCAAACCATCGTACTACACGATACCGACAAATAACTGACTCCCACCAGCCACGTCGGGCTCAATTCCCGTCAGCGATTGACGTTTATCTTTTTGCATATTTCGCACCTTGTGATATCAACTTCTGTATCGGAGATTCGCTACGGAAGCATTCTCTATGATTTTGACTGCTTCTTTGAGGAGGTGTATAGATGCAGAGAGGTAGGCGCTTTGGTCTCTAACCTCTTGTATTAATATAGCTACCTCAAGCTCTGGGACGTCGATGTCCTGCAATGTCTCAATATTGCCATCTTACCAAGTTCTTGTAGAGTATCATATAGACACCGTTGAACTCCCTCGCGTAGCGGCCAAGGTGCGCTTCGGGAGATGACGATCAATTGGGGCAGTCTGGCTTTTTATCGAGCGCTGGGCACATCACGTACTGTAAGCCAGCCTGCCATTTCTCCAGTAAACAAATTTTTGGCTTTGAGGCCACAGTGGGGCTTGGCGCCCACGATGAGGAAATAACAAGATAATTGCATTCCGGCTTCAAACGTGGTTTGAGGGACATGTTGCTAGCTGATATGTACGTTCATCATCCGGAGGCGGAGGATGTGACATGGTTCTGCTGCAACGCTACCTGGTCGAGTTGTGATATTCGAGATTTCGTCGACAGTACAATGGAAGAACTCTACAACAAAAGCGAGAAACACACGTAGCGACTTTGGTAGGGGGCGGTCGAGGAGACCCCCTAATTATCTCAGATGAGCGGCTCAGGATGGCAAGAACAAGTACACAAAGTTCTTCACGCGTATGCGTGCCTTGTAATACCCACGGGAAGTTTATGATGTAATATTGTTACATGCAATAGGAGCAGTGCACTCGAACAGAGAGAAATTAGCATACGAAACAGTTGGCCGTACTCCAACTTTCCAGGGCGACATCTTACAATCCTATGCTCAACCCTTAACCCGTGCTTCAAAATCCTGTCCGAACTCAAGACTCTTCTTAGCGTAACCTCTCCACGGCAGAAATTTATCTAAAATGACTCTGTGGAGTTCCTCGTCAGCGTTGGCGCACGCATCGTCAATCACCGTTGTTGCAAATTCGGCATCCGTCGCTGCGGCCGTCGTTCTCAGTCCGCAACCCGAACTCCTTAGTCCCGTGATCACAAGAGACTTGATCTCCTTATCTCTCAGATGTTCCAGTAAGCTAGGAGATTTGAGTGCCGAGATGTGCCCGGGAATACGGTAGAAGGCGAGCTCAGAGTCTGCATCAGCGCACAATTCAAAAGGCTCGGGACAGTTCGAAGTCTTGAGAATTTCCAAGAGACCTTGACAGCTCTCTACGCCTTTGCAAGCGGGAAGGGTGTGCCGTGGGTGTGCCATGGGTGTCGATGAGGTAGTGCATGACGGCGATGCCTTGCAGCTTGGCCCATTTGCGGAATTGGATTGCGATGTCTAGGGCAGCGCCAGCGCCTGAACCAGCGCGACTCTCGACAAAGAGAGAGTACCAATCGAGGAGAAGAAGGGCAGTCTCTGAAGGCCCATAGGCGTTTGGAGAAGAAGGGTTAACGGTGGTAATTGGCATGGTAAGTTCGAAATGGGTCGTTTTGTATTCAATACGACACATGTTCTGCATAGGTCTTATTTGTTGGAAGAATGAGATACTTCGATTTTGTATCTGTAGGAGACCTAGCCCGTCTCTTGAGGCTTTAGCTGAGTTTACGGGCCGATGGTTAACCAGGCTCTGGTGCCCTTCATCTCATTGCGCCGCTGGGTCCGAGCACATCTCGAGGATATCCTTGACCTGCTGGGCATGAAGAAGTGGAATTGCATTGGCATGGCAGAAACCATCAGCGAGACTGTTGCGCGCCAAGATCTCCCACTGTTTCCTGCTCACTCCTACCGACTCGAGACTCTTAGGCATATTGAGCTCGTCAAAGATGGCCCGGAGCATATCGCCTGCGTCGACTTCGCCCTGAGCCAGCCCGTGCTTGTTCAATACTTGAGCGACTTCGGGCTCCGACCACAGCTTATCCACTATGATTGTTTGGCGCTGCGAATTGACCGATGCGTTGTACTTCATGACCGATGGAAGAAGAATACAGGACGTCTGGCCGTGACCAACACCCAGTGGCCCAAGGTTATGGCCGATACCATGTGAAGCGCCACATGGTACATGCACCGCCAGACCCGTCATCGCTTTGTTGCAGCCCAGTTGACCATCAAGCCGTGCGGCCATGTCATTCGGCTCCTTGACATGTCGAAGCAGCGACTTTGTCAATAGACCAAGCCCCTCCAAGCATGCCTCATCCGACTCGGGTTTTGGACGGGAGGAGCATATGTTCTCAACGCAGTGGTCGATGGCCCTGACTCCAGTGCTGCGCCAGACCCAGTCAGGCGTCGAACGGCACAGCTCTGGGTCTAGAATGACAAGTTTGGCAAACATACCAGGATGAGTAAATTGGACTTTCATATGGTTCGCAGGATTCGTGCAGCCGGCAAACTTGGAGTATTCTGCGCCTGACAACGTCGTTGGTATGAAGACCAGTGGGATCGTCGGCGCGTTCCCCAAAGAGGCACCCTCACCTCGAGCAATGGCTCCAAGGTCGGGTTTCAAATAAGAGGCTTCGAGGCGAACGAGATCCTCCACGCTTTCAATGCCATTAGCTAAGGCATAGGTAAGCATTTTGGCCCCATCTGCTAAGCTGCCACCACCGAGGGTGACGATACAATCGGCTGCCGTCTTCCTGATATCTTGTAAGATTGGGATCAAGGCATCGTATGGCGTGTGTGCTGGCATTCCCATCCATGTCCCTGCATGATGATCCTGAAGAGAAGCTTCCAGCTTTTCGAGACTGTCCGAATGGGAAGCTAACCCTTTGGACGCCAAGATATAGATATGTCGGCAACCGAAAGTGCCGGTTATGTGCTTTACGCTAGCTCTCTCGAATGGTAAGCCGTAAGAGACCACTAGAGATTATCTGTTTAGTTATACTGTTCTTCTACGATCTTGCAACGGATTGTGAAAATACTTGTTGGGGGGCGTTCCATGGCGGGGATAGCTGGGAACGCCGGTCGAAAGACCTCATCATTAGATTTGACACTCATTCTGAGTAATTTGATGCGCGAGCGTGTCTTTGGTCGAAAGCCTGCAGTTTCAGTTCAAAAGAAATAGCAGGTCATGCCTCCTGAACTTATACCAGCCGTCTAAGCTGCTTGATTATTGTATCAATACTTCTCGACGTGTTCGGCACCGATTCGGTACCGAAACAGGATCGGCTTGTAGGTACTGATTTCTGTAAATGGATCGACAAAAAGGTTAATTGGGCTGAGGTGCGCCAGGCATCCACGCAGACCTTAGCTTGAGGCTAAGACGTAATGTCGTTCGTACCTGTATTTGGCTGGCGTTTTTATTGGTTGCGAAAGGGCACAAGTGGAAGGCGTATCTGAAAAACGTAACTTGAACACACTGTTGGGCATCCGTGTTTTCATCGAAACGACACTTATTGACCCTTTATTGCTCTCTCTACTTGACTCAAGGCATCATCCGAAAGCTCACGGATGCGTAGTATCTCTCGACTTGTTTCCCATCAAACTCTCGATGACCAATGACAGATATGAGACCCTTGGCAGCGGCTGAAGCGTTGTTTACGACTCTCTGGCTGATCAAGTCACAATGGGACTAGTGGATTTAGGGACCAGCAGCCTTTCCTCCGCCCGTACCTACTTTCCCCGTGGAGAATGGCTCGATCTAGTTTTGATCTCCTACGCTTTATTACTACAGTTTGTTTCTTGCCATTCCTACGCTGAGCGAGTTCGGCCTTTGTTGGATAAATTTACTGAGTATGGCACTGTGAGAGCTTGTGGACTCTACCATCGATGGTAAAAGCGGTAATGTACGATAGTCACGATGTAGGGTGGCGATCAAGTCCTCAATCAACTCAATACCGTCAATTTTGTGGAAGTTACAGTCACGTGCATCAATTCTATCAATTCAATTTCCACCTCGCTTTGATTGCTTCAATTTACTTGGATGCCCTTAACGATGATCACTGGTTGAAACTGTCGGTACTGGCGTCTCAACTGTCGTCACGCCCAATGGACCCCACTACACACTACAACACACCCAGCGCTTCACCGATCAACTTGAAAGTTTTGCCAGACCATTGAATATTCCCTCGAGATTCAGCGTCTTCAACTCAACGCCATAAATTCAATCTGGGGATGTAGTGGTTCAAATCCACAAGCCAAACGCTGAGTAAGTCAACTCAACGCCAGGCGAAGTCGGAATTGATGCAACTGAATTGATCGCCAACATGTGTTACGATGCGACGAGATGACCTTGGGAACTATCTAACTGGGCAATGAATGTGGGGTATCGCAGAGTAGATGATGTTTGGGCCCAAGAATGTACCATGGGGAGCTGGTGAATTGATAGTTGACGACAAAGATACCCACGAGATGCCAAGGTCTATTTGTTGAAAGAATGAAGCAATTCAAAAGATAAAGGTGGATTTCTCGCCATTCTGGGAGTGGGCGATCGAGAGGGAAGCAAAAGTTTGGATCTACACACCACCACGCATACCAAAGGCAGCAAGGTAACGAGCTTTCCAGCCAGCAGCAAAGCTTATAACTACTGAACGAGACGATCGGATGACCTAGAGAGCTTTCATGACCAGCTTTAGACTACGTTCATTCTCGCGTGATACCTCGCATCCCGGTCATATGTCAGGGCAGGCGTGGACGTCGGTGGTCCTGAGATGCTCTGTTGATTGAAGGCAAAGGTTCCATGAAGCTATTCGTGTCACTTGGGGTCGTAATCAAGTGTCAAATGCCTAGCCGTCACCAACAATTCTCAACCCGTATTCCCAAGGCGGAGGCCGGTGGCTGACAGCCAAAGTCTTTAACTGCCACCATCGTCATGACCCACGAGAACTGTTGTCCAATAAAGCCGATATCATTGACTAGGGCTTATGAAGAAACATCTGGACTTCTCCTCCTAGCTTTGGAAATCACTAAGGCCTAGATTCTCTGCGTATTTGCCTACGGCTGAAAGGCGCCGGGCTGTGGGCAACACTGGCGTGGTATGTTGGTCGCCAGCTGAACCCTGTGGCACTTGGATGCATACAAGGCGGATTCAACTGGTTTGACCTTGGCGAACTCATCATTGTGCATTGTCTCGGCGTCGCAGAGAAGTCCGCCGCTTGTTGCAGCAAACTTGGCATCTGTTAGCTCAGCAACCCGTAGCATCGTGCATCGAGGTAGTCTTTATGTTAGAATGTTCGCTAGGCTGGCAGATAAAAAGATGGGCTTTCAGCGTAGCTGAGCTCTCTATGGATAAGCCTGTCAGATCTTGGTACTAAGGAATGCTTGTCTGACTCAGGATCTCATCATGGACTTCAATGGAGGTTGTTTTTGGTAGGTGTTAGGTATTGTGGGATTGCTCCGTTCTGGCCCATCGCAGCGGACAAAATGGCAGCAAAGGACCTACCATTCTTTGTCGGCTCACCCTAAGCAGAAGCGACCCAGGAAATGCTGAGATCAAAGCAGCGACTACTCAGCATCGTGGGCGAGAAAGGAAACAAAGAGTGCCAGGATTCGAGTGGCATATAGCTTGATTCGAAATGCAGTGTACCCGAAGTTTTAATACGCCACAAAACACCGAATTACTGCCATAGCAGTCATAGATACTGTAAGTACCTACACGACACCGGCGGTAGCCAATCTCCAGATTTTGGATCATGCAGCGTTCAAGGTGAATGAAGTTGAGATGGGCACATCCAGTTGTAATCACTTGATATCGGCAAAGCCCTTGTTATGTCGGAAATCTTCAATGCTTATGGGGGCATCGACTGGAATCCTGACTCCTTATCACGACGGTCGAACCTGAATTTGGCTATGGTCATTCCATTATCACCCTCGTGGACTTACAATCGCCAGAATATCCGTTACTAGCATGTCACTCGGTTTCCCCTCCACAACCCAGTGACACCGAAGTCGGAGCTCACGCACGAATTTGAAGATGGCAAAGGCCCCGGAAATGATCTATCAAACTGCCGATTCTGGCGGTAGCGCAAATGTGGTCAGCACGACTTCCCCAGTTCTGCGTTGCTCAATCATCAGGCTCTCCCCACGCCTACATACGTCAGACCGCTGAATGTAGAGCGGCAGCATGGGGGATCGCGCTTCAGATGCTCCGTTATGGTAGTCGGAGCTTGTTTGTCACAAGTTGCAGAAGACTGGCTCTTCTGATTTACTATCGGACTATTGACCATGCAGGCTTATCAGTGATCCATCTGCCAACATCCCAGTGCGGGAAGTGGGAAGTGGGGGCCGCTCTAAGGAGGACCCTGGTCTCTTCGCACGGAAGTTTGTCGTCTTCAACGGTTTGATGGTAACTTTGTGTTCGCTCAGACTTCCTTGATGAATGCAAAGCTAAGCTTATCGATAGACAGGGCTTCACTCCAACCATCTGTTTAGTCGATCTGCACCTCATCGCGACTGGAGCGTTCATCCTCAATTCGGGAAAAGTATCCTGTCTTGCCTGCCGGAGGTGATCCCGACACTGCCACGAGAGATAAGCTCGCAACACCAGTGGAATATGACTGCTGAAGGCTCCTCTCGACGATTTTCTATCCTTCCCTAAACAAGTGTTGAAGAACGACTTTTCGAGGCCGCCCAAAGCCTTGATAAGGCAATGCGATCCAACACCCGGTAACAAGTCTTGAGTGTAAATCCGGCGAGGTCGAAATTTGAGATTCTTAACTCCCCCGCACGATACTCACAGACGTCGGGTCAACCCCACCTCGAATGCATCCCTGAACCTCCCTTAGAGCTAGGAACCCCTTGCCCTTGACTCCGCATAACTAGACTTCGAGATAAGAAACCTCCATTCAATAACACTACCGCCATGATGGCAACTTCGATTATCGATATGATATCCAGTCCACAATTATTGTCCTATCAGTACAATCTCGGATTCGACTGACAAACTTGGACTGGCGTTATCGAGAGCTTTACCCCAGCTCCATAGCTACGGGCCCGACGCCGTTGGCCCGAGTCAACCGAACACACCGACCTACATCGATCCGCCATCCGAACGTTGGAGCAATCGCCAAGACACCAAAGACGGGAGAAAGCAAATAATATCACGCCTTTGTGTTACATACAGCCCCACGGGATGAACGGCATACAGTCTTATCCGTAGGCCGCGGCCCGCGATATCATCGGGCCCTTGCCCTAGCTCGTTCGCAAACCGTCACGACATGGGCGCCACGTTCTGCAGCTCTCGATTGATTATCTCTCGGCGCTCGCTTATGCAGGTCAATCACGGCGTGATAGGTCACTTTCAATACCGCCCAGAAGCCATCGCGGCAACGATAGGTACGCAGCAGCTACCCTGTCTCGAGAAGGCGAACCCCTCTAGAGCCTTCCAATCCTCTGGGACCGAGCTGTTCGAACGAGGTTGCCTCGCTCCTCACTTCCTTTCGCATATTTAGTGGCGCATTCACATACCGAGACCGGTTTAGCTTGCGTGCTGCAGATTATCACAATGTTGATGTCAGTTAATGTTCTAATGGACAACTTGGAGATTGCTCATCAATACAACGCTATCACCGGTGTCGGGGTAATACCAGGTTGAGGATGGCTAAGTCAAGTTACTCAGGTGCAACATCACCAAAAACCTAAGGTTCCACAAGATCTTGAGCTATCTTTCGGCTTTCCATAAAACCTGCTGAGATCCGCCATTGTCGTTACAATGGATCTGCGAAAGATCTCTACGCCTTCCTGAGTCCCAAAGAGTCCCTCAAGATCTAGGATAACATGGGCTTTGCTTCAATAACTCGAGCCTTTGGCCTGGGAGCACTGCTTCTCCTTGGCTCAGATTTGATCCCTCAAGTTGATGGGCTGCCCAAAACATCATGGGCTCAACAGAGGGCTAAAGGGCATGGCAGGAAAGCCCTGAGCCAGTCTATGAACAAACGTCAGTTCAGCAATGGCAGCGAGCCAGCTGACTGCGTGGTTCACGATCCGATGGACATTGACGCCCCGAAAGACAACATTTGGAGTGGTCTGACAGGCCCTGAAGCTGCTGGTGTAACCGAATG